CCATAATCTTGGAGATTGGAATCTTTCATTTTACAATGGTTTCTTTTTTTGAATTTCTTTGATGATTAAGGTTCAATTAGATGATGAAATATTGAATTCTAATATCCAATGTTCGATGGTTCAATAAACAGTTTCAAAGGGCGACTTCAAAATGACGGAGGATGTAGAAAAGAATTCTTTTCAGTAATTTCGCACACGTTTGAATTTTCATAATTTTCCAGAACAAGAGTTTCCTTTTGCCTAGTATCTGCTGTATAATGTAAGAACGTTTCTTCAAAAGAAAACAAACTTAATTATATTAGATTGTTGAAATCTAATGGAGGCTTTGAAATGAGACCAAGTGAATCGTCGTATGATCTTTTTTTTTTAAATTATATCAGCTCAAATTGTCGACAATTTTCTCATTGTCACTGGTACAATTATGCTCTTTGCTATTATGCCTGGCTCACAACGATCCGATTTTTTAGGATTATTGGACCACTATCCGAAGGACCATACGGATTTTGAAGATTGCCTGGCGGCGAGAGATCGACTAGGCGAAACGTTGCTCGAAGGTCTTAGCATAATTAATCAAGCGGTAAGTATTAGTTTAGTTTAGCCAAGAATCGTACACTTTGACATATTTTGACGGTCGTGTGATTGTAGGAAAATCTGGTTCAGCTTTGCGAAATGCAAAGGGACATCAATGGTTTTGACAATTTGGTCCAGGACGGTCGTAGATTCGTTAGACAAGGTTGCTTGCAAAAGTACAGTCGTAAAGGCTTCCAGCAAAGGATGTTCTTCTTGGTAAGTTATAATTTATGCGTATAATGCCCGCCTAAATGTTATTTCTTTGATTTTACCATTTTTACCATTTGTACCATTTGTACCATTTGTACCATTTGTACCATTTGTACCATTTTTACCATTTCTACCATTTCTACCATTTTTACCATTTCTACCATTTCTACCATTTCTACCATTTTTACCATTTTTACCATTTCTACCATTTCTACCATTTTTACCATTTTTACCATTTCTACCATTTTTACCATTTTTTTCTTTTTCTTTTCTTTTTCTTTTTTTTTCAGTTTTCCGACGTATTATTGTACACATTCCGTACTCAACAGCCAACTCAATGTTTCCGCGTTCACGGCCAACTTCCGTTGAAAGGAATGAAGATTCGAGAGAGCGACAACAAGACTGGATCGGACTTCGCGTTCGTGATCGATGCTCAAGGAAATCAGTGAGTGTCTCGAGAATGCAGTGTTGCTCCGTTTAAGTAAATTATTGAACGTAACGAGGTGTTAAAAGGACGAGGTCTCTGCAGTCATTAAGAGGTCAATTGACTCTACAGGCTTCACTTGTGCTCTATTCTACCGATCTAAATGTGCCAGACTTGCATGCAGTGGACATTTCGGTGGCCATTTATTCCATCGAAATAATTCTCCTATTCACCGCTCATTTTCTTCTCTTACTCTTACTTCTCTCATTCTGTTTTTCTTTTCACGTTACAATTGTGATACAATTTAAAAAAAAAAAAAAAAAAAAAAAAAAAAAAAAAA